ATGGCTCTCATTCTAATTTTAGTTCCCGTCGTGGCTGCTCCGTTTACGTTCCTCCGGCAGCGCCCCCGCGGCTCGCCAGCACCTGTGGCCGGCGGCCTTCTCCTCGGTGGCCTTCCTGACAGCGTCGCGCGGTGGCTGTGCTGCAGGTCTCCCTGTGCCGGGCGGTGCTGAGCCTCCCAGTCCCAGGGGCCGGTGTGTTCTTTGGGACCTTGCTCTTCAGCTCCTCTGCCGCCTCTGGCTGAGCTGTAAGAGCCCCTTATAAACACAGGGCGTGACCCACCGAGGAGACGGTCTGCAGCTACTTCCCCCGGCCTTTCGCTCTGCGGTGGCTCCTCTGCTGTGCAGGAGCGATGCAGTTGCATGTGGTCCCACTGGTTTATTTTTGCTTTTGTTGCCTGTGCGTTGGGTGTCATGTCCAAGAGTCGGTGACAAGATGCACGTCAGGGGCTTTGTCCCGCGTTTCTCCTAAGAGCCTGTGGTTTCTGTCTTCACTCGGGTCGATGTTTGTACAGTCGGCACCGCTGACTGGGAGATGGTCCTTCCCGGGCGTGTCTTTGGCTCCTTGCCAAGGGTGGACTGTGGGGAGGGGGGATATTTCTTGTCTCTTGTCCGCTCGACCAATGTGTCTGTTTTATGCCAGCATCACACTGTTTTGACGATTATAGCTTTGCAAAGAACTTGAAGTTAGGAAGTGTGATGCCTCCAGCTTTGTTCTTCTTTCTCAGGATTACGTTGACTCTTTGGGGTCTTTTGTGGTTCTATAAGAATTTAAGAATTATTTTTTTCTATTTCTGTCAAAATTGCCATTAGAGTTTTGTTCTGTTTGTGTTTGTTTCTTTTGTTAACCCTCACCCGAGGACATTCTTCCATTAATTTATTTAATTTAACTTAATTTTTAAAATATAATTTTATTAATTTCAGAGGGGAAGGGAGAGGGGGAGAGAGAAACATCAGTGATGAGAGAGTCATTGATTGGCTGGCTGCCTCCTCCACGCCCTCAACTGGGGATCAAACCCGCAACCTGGGCATGTGCCCTGACCAGGAATTGAACCGTGACCTCCTGGTTCATAGGTCAATGCTCAACCACTGAACTACACCGGCCAGGCCATTTTATTTATACACACACACACACACACACACACACACACACACATACACACTAGAAGCCCATTGCATGAAGATTTGCGCAATAGGCCTTCCTTCCCCTGGCTGCTGGCACTGGTTTTCCTCTGGCACCCGGCACCCAGGCCTTTGGTCCAGCCGCAGCGGAGAAGCCAAGCCTCTTCAGTCTTCAGTCTTCACTCCAGCCGGAGCCTTCAGTCTTCGCTCCACGCCTGCATATGCAAATTAACCACCATCTTTGTTTGGGTTAATTTGCATAGTCCCTCTGATTGGCTGGTGGGCATAGCGGAGTGACACTAGTTTGCATATTTCTCTTTTATTAGTGTAGATACACACACACACACACACACACACACACACACTGAGTGGCCAGATTATTATGACCACCCCATCAGTACTTCGTTGGGCCACCTTTTGCCTTCAGTACTGCACCGATTCTTCTTGGCATTGACTCCACGAGATGTTGAAAGGTGATGTGAGGAATCTGACACCATGCCTGATGAATAGCATTGTCCAGTTCCGTGAGATTTGATGGCTGTGGAACCAGCTGCCTGATGGCTCTTTTAACTTCATCCCACAAATGCTCAACTGGATTGAGATCTGGTGATTGTGGGGGCCACCTAAGCAAGGTAAAGTCTCCCTCATGTTCTTGAAACCACTCCTGCACAATACGAGCACCGTGGCATGGCACGTTGTCTTGTTGGAAGAAGCCATCTCCATTGGGATATGCCATTAACATGATAGGATGAACTTGATCAGCAACGATACTTAGGTATGTTGTGCTATTCAGACGTTGTTTCACATGAATTAAAGGGCCCAAATCATCCCAGGAAAACATGCCCCAAACCATAACACTGCCCCCACCAGTTTGAAGGGTTGTACTCATGCATGTGGGGTGCATGCTTTCATGCTGTTTCCGCCCAATTCTCACTCTGCCATCTGCATGATGCAACTGGAAATGTGATTCATCAGACCACATGACTTTTTCCAATGCTCGACTGTCCAATCCTTGTGTTCCTGTGCGAATTGGAGACGTTTTATCTTGGTAACTGCAGACAGCAAAGGTGTTCGAACAGGCCTTTGGCTGTTTTGCTGATACTAGCTCCATGGCTCCCAGCGCCAACAATCATCCCACGTTCAAAGGCTGTTAAATCGCATTGTTTACCTATATCTTCAGAAAAAAATCACTTCTATCGTGGTAAACAACCTGCTTCCCTATTTATAATGGTCTGGCCCTCTAGCAACTTCAGCGCAAAATTATAGCTAATTCGCCTACAAACGTCAGGTGGTCATAATAATCTGGCCACTCAGTGTATGTGTGTGTGTGTGTGTATATACATTTATACACACACACACATATCCTATATAATAAAAGGATAATATGCAAATTATCCCCTCGACCCGGAGTTTGACCCAAGTTCAACCAGGGGGTGGGGGCTGGCCCACCAACTGCCTGGGGCCCCTCCCCCCTGGCTGGCCCTGTCCCTGATCGGCCCCCCAATCAGCTCCCCCACCCTGATCAGGGGTGTGGCTGGCCAGCCAACCTCCCACGTCCCCTCCTCCCAACCAGCCCATCCCATCGGCCCCTATTGAGGCGGGCCAGCCAGACCCCACCCATGCACGAATTCATGCACCAGGCCTCTAGTGTGTGTGTGTGTGTGTGTATATATATATATATATATATATATATATTTAGAGAGAGAGTGGAAGGGAGGGGGAGAGACAGAGAGAGAGACACATCAATTGGAGTTTGAGCCTCCAACCGAGGTTCGTGCCCCCCCACCCTTCCGTCTGAGGGCGATGCTCTATCCACTGAACCAAACCGGCCTGGGCGCCAGTGGAGCTTTGATAGCAATTACATTGAATCTGTAGCTCATACGGACATGTTAACATTCACACTTCTTCCATGAACATGGACTATCTTTCCGTGTTCTTCTTCAGTTTCACTAGTATCATCAGTGTCTTACTGTTTTCACTGGGCAGGTCTACCTCCTTGGTTAAATGTGTTTCTGAGTTTTTTACTGTTTTTGCTGCTATTGTAAATGGGATTGGCTTATTTATTTTTAGATAGTGTGTTGTTAGTGTACAGAAATGCAACTTATTTTGTATATTATGTTAATATTCTGCAACTTCACTGAATTCATTTCCTAGTTGTTACAGTTTTCTGGTGGAGTCTTGTTTTCCATGAAGCAGATAATTTTCCTCTTTCCTTTCCTGTGTGGATGCCTTTCTTTCTTCTCAGCGCGAGTACCGTGGCCGGGACGTGCACCCCCGTGGTGAATAGCAGTGGGGGGGTGGCCTCCTTGTCTTGTTCCCGATGTAGAGGAAAACCTGCAGTTCTCACCACGGCGTGTGACGTTAGCAGTGGGCTTGTCGTGTGTGGTCTTCACCATGTGGGCGTCTGTTCCTCTGGCACCTGGTTAATTCTTTATCATGAACGAACGTTGAATTTTGTCAAGTGCTTTCTGCGTCTGTGGACATGCTCATGTTGCTTTATCCTGCGTGTGTTCATGTGTGAGTCACGGGGGGTTGATTCGTGGGTGTTGAACCATCCCTGGAATAACCCCACCGGCTACGGTGTCTGCGCCCTTTATCGCTGGTTCCGTTTGCTAATGTTTGTTGAGAATTTCGCATCAGTGTTTACCAGGGGCTTGGGCCTGTGGTTTTCCTTTCTTGGGGGTCCTTGTCTGCGTGGATGTCTGGGAGTGCTGCCTCGCACGGTGGATGGGAACGTGTCCCCTCGTTTGGTTCTGGACGAGTTTAAGGATCGCTGTCAGTCCCTGTGAAGGTTTGTTGTGTGAAAGGGTTTGGTAAGAGATCATCTCACCAAAAAAACCCCGCTGTGTCTGTGGGCTCTGTCTTGTGGGGGAGAGGTTTTTCTCTTTCTT